TCTCAGGCAGGAACATAGAGTGACCCACTATTTTTTCTGGAACTAATTCCTCCCCTGGTTGACACTGTGTAGGTATAAGTAAAAAGCACAACTATTTTTTCAAAATAAAGAAGTCAACAGAATTAAAAAACAGCCAGCCTAGAAGTGCATCATCCTCAAAAATGTAACTGCAGAGAGACAGACAATTTGGTGTCTCTTGGATATCCAATTCCTTCCAAAAGGGGGAAAAAACCTATATGCTTCTCGTAATGCAAAACACACACTGGTCTTTAGATGTGGAAATACACCAGAGAATAATTTCCACTCAGAGCAATGAATGAGAGCATAATATAGAGTACCTTTGAACAAATACTGCAGTGGCCTCTTACATACAGGGTTTCCAGGAAGGGAAAACATCTGTAGAATATTAACTGACCCAAGAAAGGTTTAACGGGCATTTGTCAGAAATTTTATGCCAGAAACACATACAGAATTTAATTGGTAGAATTGCGTCAGAATTCCCATGGGTGCCTGTATGTACATGTAGGTATAAACATATGTACACACAAGTGCACGTACTACACTTTGATAAAATCCACACTCTGTTCTGACATGAGCTACCAGCACGAGCTGCTGCTCTTCTCCTCTTTTCAGTGCCATCTTCCCTCACCAGCTATTCTGCACTCCTGCTGGTAACTTGAAGACTTCTGTTAGCAAACTGGGAGGCGAGCAGGGCACCAGGACTGGACCACTATGAGCAATTGTGCAGTCGTTTCAACTGAAGTAAGTATTAAGGTATCTTTTCCAGTCCAAATGCATGACAAAAGTTATTTGCCAAATGAAACTAAAGACCCTGCACCTCTACTTACTTGCCTGGGTTTAGCTTTGCATACACAAACATCTCCCTTAACTTCAGAAGAATACACTGATACAGAGCTATACAAATGGCTGAGAGCTAAAGCCAGGGCCAAAGTTAGCATGCTGGCCATATTCTCACTGCTTTTGGTTTTAAGAACCATAATAGGTAAGTCTTAAAGGTCCTCCCTTTAAATGAACTCAAAATGGAAAGAAACAGGGAACAAAAGCAACATTACTGGAAAAGAAACTTTCTTAAGGTAAAAAGTCTCTTCTTCCATACAAGGTCAAAGAAATAATCAAGAGCTGCTAAGGCTGTAGTTGGATGAATACTACAAATTAGCATGATTAAATGAAGGAGAAAACCAACTCCAAGCAGTGCATTCTTCATTCTGCCTCAGCTGTGTTTATTCCTCATTTTCATACCCTTCCCTCCCTTGTACCAGCTGTTTATGCAGTTTTGGAGTGATCTGGATCACTGGAAACCAACTTTTCTTTTTGGCAATGTCTTAGGAATTGATTTGGGTTAGACTGCTTCCTGGTAATAGAAGTAGCTTATGAAGTTTGGGAAACACCTCAGAATCTCTCAAAATAAAAGGCCTACCAAAAAAAAAATATGGATATCAGTGCCATTACGGACTGATTTTTCTCCTAACAGCAAGGTCTTGTCCTCTTCACACACAGCCTCTTTCCCTCAGCCCTCAGGACCATTACTCCGCTGGATTTGTTTGCAAACTGTTGATGAGAAGTCACACGCTATCAAGTCAGCATGGTTTATATAGAAATATTCCTCACTGTATTTACTTGAGAGCCATTAGGGAGAGGAAAGGTCTAATGAAAGATGGTCATGCCAGCAACCACAGTCACCTCCTCCTGAAAAATGCCTAAATAGACAAGCAAGTCGACTTGTGAGTAAGCTCCCTTACAAAGCGAAATACAATTCCAATAAAATTCAGTAGAATGACTCCTATATTTGCTTTTACAGGACTCCTGGTCATCCTACAACCCTTCCACATTAAAGACATGAGCGTATTCCTCAAAGGGTCTATAATGGAGGTCATCTTGGCTACTAAGCAGAAGTTTTCCTCCCTTTCTTTCACTGAAGCATGACACGCTAATGAATTATATCACTGTGGCACGGGTTTAATGGTATCTTCTGCTACCTTAATGGAGGATCAGAGGTGCTATTTTTAACACAGTGTGTCAGACAGACCATTACAATTTCTTCCATCATTCTGAATACAGCGTAAGGTTAAATGAACTATGATAATGTATTGCTACATGCTTAACACATTTCCCTAAAAGCTATGAAGGGCAGAGACGGTCTATTGAGATAATCATAGTGAAACAAACATCGCACTTTTCATAAAAGCCAACATCAAATTCCTCATGATTACAGAAGTAATTTTGAAAGAGCAACCAAAAAGAAGAGAGAATTGGATGTAATTTTAACTATCAGGTAAACAGAACCTTGAAACATTTTATATGCTGAAGTAGGACAAAAGTGAGATGAAGATTTGCACTGTCAGATTAATGTGATGTTGGAAAAATATTCCAAGTCTAATCCATAGTGGCAATACCATTAGATTGGCTGTCACATATCACATCCTCTACATACTTAGATTATTAACACTCAAGACAGCAGTAAGAGTGGCATTTATATTTTACTGAAGTCTTTGAAAAAATGTCTTCAGTTTTATTAAATTTTTAATAACAGTTGTATTTATAGTACAACCAGAAAGAAAGCTGCTTTCTATAGAAGCATACTATAACTCTTCAATCACTGTTCTAGTCTACTAATTCATGTTACGAGGAATTAGATTTAGGATTAGAGATTGGCATCCATCTGAGAGGAGCCCAGGTAAAACTCCATAGCCCAGCTCATGGAAGCAACAATGGTAATGACAGAAAACAGACAGCTCTCCTGCTGCTACTGTACACATCATTAAAGGTGTGCATAGCACAGTGTGAACTGCTAATGTGAACAGGAAAGGATCTTGCCCTCTGCCTGTAAATCCATCCTTTGACGGAAACAAGTAAGACAGAGACTACTTACAAGAACATGTAGTGAATAGGACAAGGGGAAATGCCTTAACACTAAGTTTAGATTATGTATTCAGAATAAATTCTTCCCTGAGAGGGTGGTCAGGCACTGGAACATGCTGCCCAGAGAAGTGGTGGGTGCCACATGCCTGGAGTGTTCAGGGCCAGGCTGGATGGGGCTCTGAGCAACCTGGTCTAGTGAAAGGTGTTCCTGCCCATGGCAAAGGGAGTTGGAACTAAATGATCTTTCAAGTCCCTTTCAAACCATTCTATGGTTTTGTGATTCTATGAAATATGTAAAAAGAGGGTCTCTGGCAGAGTCGTGGTTGGCAAAGGGGTGGGGCTGAAAATCCTGATGATGAGCAATACTGCCCTTCTGGTTTAATTTTGGGTAGGCGGAATAGCTAAAGGATTATCCTGAGATCAGCTCAGGGACTAAAAGTCCTAAAAGGCATTGTTGCTGCTCCTAATTCACCATGGAAAACATGACTGACAGAAGGATGTGAGGCTGGGATGGTGGATAGGTACTGTCTTGATGGGATGTACAGCCATGTCAGTCTCATTGTGGATGGTGGAGTAGCCAGCCTCTGCCTCCATGTTTCTGTGAATCTCTGCAGGCTCATTTATTCAGTCTTTGTTCTCTAACGAGTAGATAGTTTACTCATGGTAAACCTTTTCCTTAGTACATAGACCAGACTCTTCTTTCTGTGGTCCAAACTGTTTTCTAAGACTGTAAATCATTCCCTTCCTTCACAAATATTGATTTGTAACTTGTACAGATTGTGCTCATGTTCCCAAGTGACCATTTTCTTCTAGACTCTTTGATTACCAAACAAGTCCATGGTGGAGTTTCAGAGTATTATCCTGAAGGGCATACACCACATCAAACTTCCCAGGAGTGGAAAATGCTACCCAACAGATTATTCTGGGAAATGGAAGAAAAATAATCTCAACATACTGGACATGTTATGAGCTTGGCAACAGCACAGGCTGCTCTGCTCCCAAATTTTCAGTAAAGAAAATGCTGAGAGTATTAATGCCTATACATGAGACAGAAGTTCCCTGCAAACATTAACTCTTTAACATACATAGCAGTGGTTGTGAGGATGTTATTTTGAAGTGATCAGATTAAGATGTTACAAGCAGATAGGCTCTTAAGCCTAAAAAAAGCTGTTTTCTCTCTGGACAGTATGGATATCCCACAGAATGAATGTAGATATTGCTGGTACTCAAAACCTTAACACTTTAATGTTAAATGGCAATGACTAGTTATTGTTATTACCAGTTTCTCTCATCATTGCTTTCAGTCTCAGCTTTCTGTGAAAGTGCTCTGAATCTCCCATATGCTCCCAATCTATGGTCAAATCTCCCACGTCCCTGGGACTCTTCTCACACAGAATCCATGCTTTGACTCCACAAAAACTAGTTCTCCTTTATTTTCTTAAACCACTAAACACTACTGGGACTAAGTATCTTTCTCTCAATTACACTTTCAACACTTCTTTCTATAGCTGTTCTTCTTTCATGTTACATGGGAATTATGTGCAGAGCTCTATATCCTATTCTCTGCCTCCCAGTAATGCAATTTGTTTAGTCATTCATGAACTTTCCCTGTTCAACTTTAGTATGACCCCAAAACTTTCAAATGCTTCATGAACGATAAAAAAAGACAAACCCCCTACCCCCTCCTTAAAGGCACACATGTGTGCATCTTCATTCAGGTTCAGAAAAACAAATAAAAAACCCAGACATGCTGGCAACTTGAGACACACAGACCCACGCTCTGCATTCTCCTGCACCTCACAGGAATGTAGTGATGGCAATTGTAATTTCTTATCTTTAATCTCTTCATTAGCTCTGAGCACAAATTGCACTGTGGTCCTAACCTTTCCCACCTTTCCTTTCCTACATGGAAATTAAGTGATATTTCCCACAGGATATTCTACTTTGTGTGAATTGATGTTTGTGGGACAGACAGACAAAAGACAGGCTGAAAGATTCCCAAATTCCATTCAGCTACACATCCACCTCGTCCAAGTCTACATATTTTCTTTGTTTATAGGGTGTTTAAGCAGTAAAATACGTAGATTTAAGGAAGGATATCTGCTAACGACCTAACTCACGTTTTCGTGCTTCATATGTTTCAAGAGACGCAGTTCTCGGTAAGCTCGCTTGGCAAAGAGTTCAGACTGAAACGGCCGGTACAGTTTCTTAATGGCCACGTTGGTACCACTTCGTCCATCGACAGCTGAGCTTTAAGGGAGAAGGAAACAGTTGTGTTTCTTTTGTGAGCGAGGACCGAAACAAGCCTACAAACCCGGTCGGCACTGGGGAGCGGCTGCATCCTGCCCCACGCTGCCTGGCCTTGGCCCGGAACCCCCTGTGCCATGGGGGGAGATCACCTCCCCAAAGCACCTCGTCAGCAGCCATCTCGTTTCATTCGCTTAAAAGGCCCTGTGATGAAACGTAGACAATTTTCAAAAGCTTTAAAGAGGAACATCTGGGGAGGGGGAAAAAAAAAGGCAAAAAAATAAGGCAAAAAAATCCCATAAACCGCCCAAACCCACCACCAACACTGACCCACACCAGGCGTCCCGTCCCAAGGGCTACAACGCCCCAGGCTTAGAGGGCGCGGCCGCTCCGGGGTGCCGCGGACCGGGGTCGGCAGCAGCGGGCAGCGCTCCCCGGGCAGGGCTGGGCTGGGCTGGGCAGGGCCGGGGCTCTGCTCGCCCCAGGGACACGAACACGCGCATGTCGGAGCCCGGAGCGCCCGTCGGTCCCCACGACGGGCCGCGCTCCCCGGCTGTACAGCCCGGCCCGGGCGGCCAGGTGAGCAGCGGGGCCGGCCCTCAGCCCCGCGGGGCGGGCCGGTGGCCGGAGCAACAACCGGGAAAAGTTGGCGGGGAGCAACACGCCAGAGAGCTGGGCCGGGCCGCGTCCCCCGGGCCGGGACAGAGGCCACCCCTCCGCCGCCCGCCCCCGGGCTGCCCCGGCCGCCCCCGCTCACCAGACGGCTCCGTAGGCGCCCGACCCCACCGGCTGCAGGTCCCGGTAGCGGTCCCGCACTTCCCAGAGGGTCTTGGTGATCTCCTGCCGGTAGAAGCCGTTCTTTGGGGAGGACATGGCGCTGTGGGCCCCCACCAGCCCCCGCCGACAAAGAACCCGGGCGAGGGGAGCGGGAGCGGCCAGCGCCGCCGAGCCGGGCTGCGGAGAGGGGCTGGGCTTGGAGAGCGGCACCGCCCCCGCCCCGCGCACCCGCCTCGGATCACTCCTGCTGGGATCGGGACCAGCTATGCCCTCCCTTCCCTCCAGCCCGGGCACCGGGGGCTGTGCTCTGGCGAGGTTGAGGGCGGACGGTGCGGTGTCCCGGCGGCGGCCGAGCGTGCCCAGGCAGGTGTCGAGGCTCTCGCTGACTCCACGAGTCCTTGCAGTGGGGAACAAACCCATCCCAGACATCTCTTCTCCCCCTTTCACCCGGTGCCCGTTCTATGCTTGTGTTCAGGAGCTGGTGAGGTACCACTGGCTGGTGCATCAACGTGTTGATGATCAACGAGTACGAGAGGCTGCAGCTGGTAGAGATGGGAGTACAAAAGCGAGCTTTTGCATGGCCTCTGCACTGGGGCAAACAGCTGGGGTCTCCCCAGACCGTCCTGGGGTCAGACCCCAAATTGCAACAGTTTCATAGAGTTAAATAGAAACAAGCACACGTTTGGTTCAGTTGCTCAGAGCAAGTGTTTCCATGCATGGCTGGAGTGTGTTCAAGCAGTGGCTTGAAACAATTGCAGTGCTGGAGTGTGGACAGCAGCGACCAGCTCAGTAGTAAATGGGCCTTGGCTGGCACCACGTGTAAGGCAAAGATCTGGTTTAAAAGGTATTTTATATGTTCTCTGCATGAATGTAATTAAAACTCTTGTCCTTCAACTTCTGGTAAAGTCTTTGTTTTGTCTGACTTCACCCCTGAGCAATGTTGCTGAGGTTAGATAGTTCTGACTTGCTGCCAGCAGAGTTCAGTTTGTGATTTAGTTATAAAGGGGCAATCTGGCCAAATTTTGTGGTTCCCGATGATTTTTTGGTAGTTGCTTGACTACCAAATGTGGAAGAGCTGTCCTACTCTCTCTCCTCCCAGGAAAGAGGAGGAACACATCCTTCCAGCCAACACCCTTGTGTTCAAGAGTTGCTCTCTGCTGACCATTGGCCTGTTTGACCCCCCGGTTTAGTGAAAATGGAGAGCAACCTTCTGACATTTGGCAGTTAACATGAGGCTTGTGTATGACAAGTGTTAGACCAATGGTAGATGTTCACTTTTAAAAATCTGCTGCCCCAGATTTTCTGACATCCCTTTAATGTTATGTTTGCCATTCAGACAATGACTGGAGTGAAATGTGGTATAGGCAAGGTGATAGATAGTGGCAAGGTGATAGAGCACCTTCAGCTCAGTTTTGAGCCAGTCCATTAGTTAAATTACTTTTAATGACAAATATGTGTGTTTCTAATACAGTGAGGATTAGTTCTGCCTTTGATTCCTTGCCTACTTTTCCTTTATTCACTTGTGGCAAAGTGATACTTTCTTAATGCTTGTTTTTTATCAGGGCAGAAAGACTTTGATACAGTAGATACTAAGGGAGCACCAAGACAAGACCACTCTTGTGCAGAAGGTAAGAATACAGCAGAGCAGATTTTGTAACATATTTTAAATTCATTGACAAAGTTAGCCAGTGCTGGTTTTCCCATGTTTTTCCTTTATTTAAGTAATTAGGTACACATAGCTATAGATAGATGAGGTAGCAGTGTACATCAAATACAAGACCGCCTTTCCCCATTGGGTCACACATACAGGAGATGAACTGATAAACTTACTGAAAAGATTAGGAGGTCAACACTCTTGTAACAAGGGAAGCTTTGTCTAATAAGCTATTCAAAGTGTCTATGAAGGGAGTGAGACAAGAAACTTGGATCCAACCACAGCTGCTGGGTCTTACAACAGTGTCACAGACCACATGAGCCTCTGCATCCTGCTAGGCTCAGCTGGATACTTGGAGATGTATTTCCCCAAAGACAGTCTCTTGCAAGGAGACCGATAGGATACTGTGGCCATATCTTCTCCTGAGCAACATGTGCTTGACAGGATAAATTAAGAAAGGAATGCTATCAGATGTTTCTGCTTTTGGCATATTTTTATTGCAAAGTTAGTAGAAAAGAAAGGGACCTTCTTCAGACATCAAAAATAAAACATAGAAAATGCACTAATGGTGCAAAAATCCCACTTTTCCAATGCTCATCCCATAAAGCAAAGCCTTGAGAGGTATCAGGACATGGTTTGGTTTTTTTTTAAGGCCAACTTTTGAAGTGCTGGAAGGTTGCCATCAGCTGCAAAGCATATGAGGTAGATGGGGTGTGTACACTACTCTTTCTAATTCCTCTAGGAACTGAGAGCTCAGTTTACACTCCAGCCTGGAGGTGATGCTTTGGTGCTGGAGCAGGAGCTCTACGAGAAAGAAGTGAGAGACCTAACCATGTTTTCCTGAGAAAACCTGCGTGTATGAAGTCTGTTGAGAGAGTTTGATGGCAATGCTGCTCACCACAAACTGCTAATCAGAGATGATAAAATGGCACAGTTTTGTTTGTTAGGAGCTGAACTGCTGGTGAGCTGCTGGGTCTCAGGTGAAGGAGTGCATTTGTCTAAGCAGAGAGAGGGACTAGGACCTGTTCTGCAGTCTAGGCACTGATAACATGGGGGAAAGCAGATCATGCAAAATCCTTTGAAAAATCAAGCGTCTTCCCACCTTTCTGTCTGTTTATATCTCTATGTTTCACATGATCATTTTATTCCCAACACGTTAATTCATATATGAATAATTTAGTTGTGTAAAACACACCTTAGATGTCAATTAACATTAAATATTGATGAATTGTTAAAATCTGATTCCTAGAATACTATTGTTTTTAACAAGCTTTCTATATCCCCCCTTCAAAAAATACTCTGTGCTTGTCTACTTACACATGTTGCTGTAGAGGAAGTAAGTTCATTTTATTTATTACAACAAGAACTAAAGATTAAATTTAAAAAAAAAAATCTCATTTTTAATCTGAAAATACTCCCATTCTATTGTGCTCCCACCCTTACCCACTGGAGTCACTGCCAAAAATTTTACAACTTCTCTGGTTTTGCCTCTCTGCTCCATAAGCAGGGGTACTCAGTTCCAGTTTCTGTGTCATGGAGCCCTCCTGGGGACCTTGCCATGCTGCAAGGGCACTAAGCCATCAGTAGAAAGGAATAAAGATGCACCGCATAAGTGTTTTTTTATTAAAAAATTATTTTAAAAATGATATGTTTCATTTGCTCAAGAGCTCAGGTGAGAACTTACTAAGTAACTATTTACTAGCCCATTATTCTTGCTTTCTGCAGGGTAGTGGAGGAAGTGAGGTTGGGTGTAGAGGGTAGCTGACAGCTATGTGTAAATCAACTGCTTTTAACACTCTCCTAACTTTTTCTCCTCAGAATCTGCCAAAGGGTCCTCTCCTACAATATACTGAAGGAGTTTAATTTTTAAACTAGCACAGATTGTTGCAGTATGAGATACTATAGTGCATAGAGCAAAAAAATACTCTAAAGAGTTACCCAACTTCAATGCAAAAACCATACAAAAGAAATATTAATAGATATTCCCGATAGCTGTACTTATTTGTCATTGCATGGTTGTGCACATCATCTCTTTAAATCACAAAAAACTTAATGGTAGTCTTATCCCATCTCACCCATCCTACTCAACTCCTCCTCAAGTTTTTGTGTTTCCATCTCAATGAGAGAGCTGGACAGGACAGGAGTACTGTGTGTTGGTTTTGCACAGAATGTAACATAACTATGGCTTCTTGATTTGCATCTTCGGGCTCTAATATAAAATAGGAATATATTATTTGAGTGCTAATCTAGAGGATATTATGCAGTAAGGAGCAAAGTGGAGGCTGCAAGTTATGG